TGATGAGGTGTTAAATCCTAATAAGGTCTTGCAATCAAGTTTTTCTCAAAGCATAACTTTAATTCCATTTTATACTTGATCCTTTCAACAATAAAATTTTCCTTTTATTATAAAAATAAAACATGCTCTTCCAACTCCTCAAAAGAATATAAGATATCTGGTTATATAGCTGTCTCTTACCTTTTTAGTGGTATTTTTAAAAATAGGAAACTATTTGAAAACATTAACCTACTGATTCCAAAAGCCCTGCAATGATTTAGTGAAGCTCAGTGTCTCATAATTTGTTTGTTCATAGCATGAACCATCATGGAGAAAGCTTATTAAAAATTTCTCATTTCACATTATAAATCCATAATCTAACACACTAATCATGCTCATTCAATTGTTGCACATCCATAAATGCCATTGTACACAATCAGTAAAATTCACTGTGGAATAATAACTTTTAAAATCTCATCTTGAACACAAAGCTATTTGAAATTACCATATTATCTTTATTTCTAGCTTAAATTTCATTAAATGCCTCTGCAGGCTTTTTAATATAAGAATCTAAATATAATGGGGAAACAACCCCTAAAATATTCCATTATCACAGAAAATATAAACTGTTAATACACACATAAATTCCAAAAGAAAACAAAAGCTTCAGCTTAGACCTGAAGTCCAGATCCACAATTATAAGAATTTTCTGAAAGGACAAGCTTTGCTTTCTAAAGGAGAGAGTATGAGCCAAGCAAACTTGGAAAACAAATTTGCATCCTATATACCAAAAAATTTCATGTATAATACATATCCAAGGTGGCGGCTGGGGAGAGGAAGTGACATGAGTATAAAAATCCCACAGAAAGATACTCTGCACGGAGCTGGAAGTGTTAGGCCTTGGATGGGAATAGAAGAAACAGCGTGAGAACACCAGAAGTTTTCCTGAAATGTGAATGGATCATACACACGAGAGAGTTAACAGCGTGGGTGGTTACTGCTTCCAGCAGCCCCAAACTGTACTCCCAGTGGTACTGAACACGTCCAGCTTCGTGATCTGGGTGCTGGTTATGCAGTTTCTTCTGTTTGTGAAAATCCATCAGTATGTGCACCATACGATACTTCATAACCCCTAAGGGTCTCTGTGCTCTCCTTCCTACCACCTCTCCAATTTCACGTCATACTACTCTCTCCAGTCACACGGGCCTACTTTCTATTCCTTGACTATCTCAAGCAATTTTTCACCTCAATCATCCTGCTAATTGCATCTCTTCCTTCTCTCCTTTATAAAGATGGGGTACTCTTACTCTAAGGGTTCATTTCAGATGATAACTCAGTGAAGTCTTTTCTGGCCACCTTTGCGAATTTATTCCCCCCCATATTACTAACCACACTTCCTGAAATTATTCCTTCTAATTATATTTGTAGTTTTTCTCCAGCTCTCTCCCCTAGTAGGCTGTATGCATCATGAGACTGGAGACCATGTCCATCTTACCCACTTGTGTTTCCCCAGCACAGTGCCTTAAATACAGAAGGTATTTTTAAAAATTGGCTGTATGAATGATATTTCCCAACCCCCAAAGTTTCAGGTATTATGCTAAAAGGGTAAATATAGAAATAAGTAAACAAGTAGTTAAAAATTTAAAATTAGCTTGAATACAAATTTTCAGACTGCTTTCATGTGCCTTGCTTTACCCACAACCAGCGGTAGCAGCTTTATAGCACTGATGACAAAACAATAAAAGAACAGAGCTCGTCAGTAATCTGACCTACCCTGTTAAACAAAAAGGATCCACCACACTATTAGGATATCCTTAGCAAAAGCGAAGCTACTGATTCATTCTTTTCTCCTCCCTGAAAAAAGACTGAAAAATCACTCCACACGTGTGCACACACACACGCGTGCACATGCACCCCCTCTCCCCCTCCACGCACACACTCGGGCAGGAATGGCTCTCCAGCACTGAACTGGCAGCTCCACCTACTACCCAACCCACGGGGACTTCACAATCCTTACACACTGTCTTGGCCCCAGATGCAGAGACATTTTATGCCAAATTTGTGGGTGGGAAAGTCAATTCCATCCTTCCTGTAGAAGGATACACAGATGATTGTTACACAACTTTAGGATGACCTTCCTGTCTCAGGAAGCTCCCAGAGACTCCCTAACTGCGTCTTATTCACCCACGTGGTGGGTTTCAAAGTTGCTCTGATGTAAAGCACTGGCAAGAAGAGCTGCCCATTGAGGAAAAATATGAAACACTGAGATACTGTGTTTCTTTTTATGAACCAGGAATAATTTTCCTGGCAGAAATGGCAGTATATGAATGCCACCTAAAACCACAGCTTATACTTACCTGGCAGGAGAGATTATTTCAGCCCTAATAAAGAATAAAAAAAACCATAGCTTAAACTTGCGTGTTCTCAATAAAGTAATAGAGTCATTAAACTAACTGGCTGTGTCCGAATTTTTCTGTTAACATTCTTTTAGTACTTATTCATTCATTTTCACTAATACTCACCGAAAGAGATGTGGTAGCAAATGCCAAACACTTATGAAATGTTGACAGGAGAAAAACATGAAACTGGAAAAGTTTCTATTAGCCCATTTTATTTTCCTTCTGTGGATTGAGATAGGCCATTATTCATTTTTAGCAGTGGGACTACTGGGCTGGGTCTTTTGAAGTCCAATTATTATCATTCTTTGCCAAAGATAAGGAAAATAGATTTCCATATTTTAAAGAAGTTTCTAATTCTCACTAAGTTTATACTCATCAAAAAGTGAAATGATTATTTTAAAATAAATTTAAGAATTATACCAATATTTTGAAAGAGCCAAGAAGCAAAATGACCCTTATTACCACATTGTATTATAATATGCATAAATGTTAAACATGAAGTAGTTTAAACATTGACTAAACAGAAAATCTGGAATCATATACTCTTATTGACAGCAACCAAGTCAAAGCCAATTATGAGACACTAAAGGATGCCTTTGATAGTAACGCTTTAAAAATAAAGATATTAAAATAGTACCTTTTATCATAATAGCATTTTTATTTTTCTAAACAGAATACACACTGTATAGTAACATATAAAATATAAACAGGTCTGTGGTCTCCAAAAATGACACTAAATCAACTGAAGCGGAAGAAAATGCACAAACGGTATTAAATCATGACACAGAAAAAGAGAGGGTAGCATCTGGCACTTCTGGCGTGCTACTAAGAACACACTCGGGCAGGAATACAAATTCTACAGTCTCTGAACTAGGTTGGGTGGCTGCAATTTGGGAAGCCGTTTTTTTTCCTTAGGTAGAATAAAATGTCCATCAGACCACATTTGTAAGTATTCACTCAATAATGAATACAACCGTAACCATTTTAACATCCAAGTAGTTTTTAAAATCACACACTTAGAAATACAACTGAGAATTCCAAATAATTTATGTAAATATTCTGCCCACAATTGGGAAGGGCAAAATTCCCCATTCCTTATGCAAGGGCTGTATGTAGTGGCTTCCTTCCAAAGGAGGTGGGCGGAGTCACTTTACAGTAGAGAAATCTGGCAGTGAGTACATCGGCCACATGATCAATATTATGTTGACGTGGGATCGTGTCAGTGATAAGTCATGTTGACAGGATGTACCCCTGATATAACAAAAACGGCACTTAACCCCTGTGGGCCTTCCCTTAGTCTAATCATGAGAAAAACACCAGACAAATCTAACTGAGGAACGTTCCACAAAATACCTAAACAGCATTCCTCAAAACTGTTAAGATCATTGAAAACAAAAAGGTCTATGAAACTGTCACAGATAAGAAACCATGAACAATGTAATGTAGTGCCCAGGGTGAGATCCTGGAACAGAAAAGGACATTAGGTAAAACTTAAGGAAATCTGAATAAGGTACAAACTTTAGTTAATAATAATATATCAATATTGGCTCATTAGTTGTAACAAATGCAGTATATTAACATGTAAGGTGTTAGAAATGCTTGTTCCCCACTGACGCAAAGAAATAGCACTCGAACATCAATTTAATTCTCTTAGCAAGGCCGTTTTTATTAAATTTATGTTCGAGTGCTATTTCTCTGCAGCACCAGGGAACAAGCATTTCTAACATAAGGTGTTAGTAACAGGGGAAAATGGGTGCACAGTAAATGGAAACTACTATCTTTGCAACTTTTCTGTAAATACAAAACTCTTCTAAGTCTCACACTGTCCCCCTGGATCTCAATCTGCTGGCTAAGTAAATCTATACTGAATTTAGAACAGAGATTATTAAGCAATAAGTTTTTAAAGTTGCAGAGAAGGGAGGGTAAATGGCTTGTGCACTACTGCTAGCTAATATCCACAGCTTCCCCGGGGACTTTAATGCGGTGGCACTTTAAGAGATGGGTTTGCCAATCGATGGGCTGCTTTTGAGGCTCCTGATTAACATATGTAGAGTTCCAAAGTGCTTTGAAAGCTTTGTATTATCTCAGTACTCCAAATGCGGTTTCTAAATGCTGATATTCAGTTTCAGCTTTTTCCAGTTTCTTCTTCAGCCTTCCATATTCATGATCACCTGTTCACCCTTAGCGAGCCTCAGGGCAGAGTGGAGTTGCTTGAAACCCATGTGGGCAAGCTGACCTGACTGTGTAGAGGCCAGAGTCTAACTGAGAGACAGCAAGATTTTCAGATGGTCTTTAGACAACAAATTGAAAACGGCAATTCCTTTTCTTTAGCAGCAGGGCATAACCTGTGAATGTCTTCCTATTTAATCTCCCAGCACTCTATGATGTAGGTCCTGTAAATGCCCCCACTTAAATAACAAAGACACGGAATAAGCAAGAAGAAATAACTCCCTCCAGAGTGGCAGAGCAGAACCCTAACCCATGCCTCTTTGCCTAAAACCTATATTCTCTCTGGCTTGCATGTTGCCTTCCATGAATATAATGCAGTAAAACACCGTGGGAAACAAGCCCTTCAAGAATTCAAACAGTAAGCAGTAACGACAATGAGACAATATCCCTCACGTGTTTTCTACAGCAAAAAGGCATCACTATTCTCGTAAAAATTTCCATCAGGCTGGGATCTTCCTTTCCAGCATTTCAAATCTGAAAATCAAAAAATAACTTCAAACACAATACAAATGGCTAAACATGACTGGATATTCAATATGAATATTACTGGCATAACAAGCTAATGGGGTGATACAATGAGGGGGAAAAGTTGTTATCTTTATTTATCTCTGTCCTTTTGCAGAAAGGAAGGAAAATTTATAAATCTGAGTAAGAAGAGGATAATAAAGAAATTGTTAAGTAGGAGTTCACAAGAGGGTTTAAGCCTTTCTACGTGCTAAAATACTACATACACACACTATTTTCTTGAACACTATTTGAAGGCAACTATTTTACTATCATTCGTTACTGATTTTCCTTGAATTACTTTAATAATCACTATTGGAAATACTCCATAACATAAGTAGGCTCCAAAAGCTTTTCTGCATTTGCAAAAGCTGTAACCATAGACAAACCATAGCCCCTGTATCTTCAGACAGAACCTGAACATTTTTAGCCCCTGTGTCTTCAGACAGAGTCTGAACATCCAGGTGCTCCTGCAAATTAAGGCTTAATTTTCACAATTGGTAGAAAGCAGAAATTTGAGTCAACCAGCTGTTACAGTCCACAGAAAACCAGCAAGCAGTTTTAGTTATTTTTTCCTTAGTGTAGAATAAATTGACTGTATTGAGCTGTTTTTGTGTTTCCCTCTCCAGAGATGTCACTTCCCTGAAGAATTTCCACCAACATATAACCAATCCTTTCAAAAAACAGGCATTCTCTTAAAATTAATTCTTATCATTTTCTAATCTACCACATCTTAAAGTTGTGCAATTTTTCTAAGCAGAAGCATGTTTCTGTTTGTCTCCAAGTAGATTCTAACTTCCAATCAGATTTAGTCCAAATGCCACTTAATGACTTTGTGTTCCAACCCAGATAACAAGACAAGCTGCTAACTTACCATTTGGTGACAAATACCGCTTTCTTCAAGTTTCCCCACTGGTGTTATTATTAGCAATGAAGAGAGTGGCTTATAAGTAGACTTTTTCAAAAGCTAAAGCAGAGCAGGGTAAATTTTCATCCCTCATGTTTTCTCCATAATTCGTAAAATATTTCACTTAGATTATCATGATTTTCTAAAACTTTAATATATTTGCTACAGTGAGATTTTCTAAATATGCTGTTAATTAGTTTGTTCATTCCACAAACACATATTTAATTGCTTCTAAATGCTAAGCACAGAGAAATAAAATTGAATAAGACTGAAGAGACTAATATCTTCAATTGAGGGAGGCAGGGTGTGTGTTTTCCTTGTTCAGGATGTGCCTCCAAGGCCTGTCTAGCATGAGGCTCTGCTCAGCAAATATTCACTGAAATGTGAACAACAAAGCTCTGCCTTCAAGATGTAGATAATCCTTGAAGACAAGTGCCAGGCACTGTAGATAAAGCAATAAGCAAAACAAATGCTGTGCCATTGTGACACTTACATTCCTGTGCAGGGGAGCACAATAAACTATATATAAAATAAAATGTGTGACAAGGGCTCTAAAGAAAAAAAGGCAGTGTAAGAGGATGGGGAGCTTTTCCAGACTGAGTGTTCTTACACTTGGAAGAAGTTTCACATGAGCTGAGATTTAAATGAAGTGAATGGCAAATGTTGCAAATATTCTAGATAAAAGTGTTCTAAGCAGAAAGAACTAATTAATATGCAGGCAACTAACGATAACACAGCTTGCAGGTAGTATAATGAGGTATGTGGCTGAGTTTGGTAGCTGTCTACCAAAACTCCATTTTGTCTTTCTCATCACCCAGCTAGACCACATGTCTCAGTTTGAGTGGCTTTGTGACTTGTCTTTACCAACGAACTGTGAGAGATATGGTACATGTCACTTCTGAGGCAAGGCTTTAAGAAACAAATATGTCTGCTCCATGCTCTTTTTCCCCTTTTCACAAAATATGGAACACAATGGGGTTAGCAGAGCCACAATATGGAAAGCGCCCGGGCCTATACAACACTGCATAAAGGGCAGCCATCCAGGCCAGATGCAGAGGCTCATACCTATAATCCCAGCACTTTGGGAGGCCGAGGCGGGTGGATCACCTGAGGTGGGAGTTCAAGACCAGCCTGATCCAACGTGGAGAAACCCTGTTTCTACTAAAAATACAATATTAGCAGATCTTTTTCCATTGTCATATCTCTAGGACCTGGTATAAATCCTGGAAAATGGTAGATATTCAGTATTTATTGAATAAATGCTAGTGAAAGCATGAAAAAAGCAAGTAGGTCAATAAGTAATTGAGGAAAGGGAAGGGTTCAGCAAGTGTTCATGACAGCGGCACTTTAAAGAATGGGGCAAGTGGCTTATAAGGGCCTGGTAGGATGGCTGGGGTGGATATTCCTGGCAGTGGAAAGAGCATAAGCAAAGAAAAGAAGAAAATACATGACACGTTTGAGGGACACGAATCCCAAAGTGTTTCCATGCTTGTGTGCTTTTCATTCAATACACATTTAGAAGCATCTGTCCTGTGCTGAGCACTACTATAGGTGCTGGAAACACAAAGCTTGTTAAGGCCAGGCCCTAGTGAAGAGGAAGCTTGAAGCACACAACACAAGGAAGACATTAAAAAAAGAGTGGTAATGCCAGCGGGGTCACTACACTGTCACTGCGTCCTGAAATTCCAGCAGACACTGTCCAGGAAGCTTAGCTGTGGGCAGGCACATTCCAGCAAAGGTATGAAACAGCGTGGCAGTTCACAGAACTGCGATAGTCCAGTCCCCTCGAAAGTAGGCTCCATGATGGCAATGACTTTGTTTTATTCACTGCTGAGTCTCCAGTGCCCAGAATAGGCCCTGCACTTGGCAGATTTTGAATGCCTAGACATTTGAGGGGAGGGGATGAGGTTGTAAATAAGGATATAAAGGAGGCATAAACTATTGCATAACAGAAGGAATTCAAAGAGCTCTGATGGGAAACAGTAAGGTCAGATTTGTGTTTCACAGGAGCATTCTAGTTGAAACATGCTTGAAGGGGTGTGATACCTGGACAGGAAAAGCAGGTAGTAGATGACTGCAATGGCCCAGGCCTCAGGAGAGAGGAGATGAAAACTGAAATAAGACAACAGGAGGAAAGCAGGGGTAGAAAGAAAATCACCGGCCAGGCATGTTGGCTCATGCCTGTAATCCCAACACTTTGGGAGGCCGAGGCGGGCAGATCACAAGGTCAAGAGATCGAGACCATCCTGGCCAACATGGTGAAACCCTATCTCTACTAAAAATACAAAAATTAATTGGGCATGGTGGCACATGCCTGTAGTCTCAGCTACTGAGGAGGCTGAGGCAGGAAAATTGCCTGAACCCGGGAGGGTGGAAGTTACAGTAAGCCGAGATCACACCACTGCACTCCAGCCTGGCAACAGAGCGAGACTCCGTCTCAAAAAAAAAAAAAAAAAAAATCACAGGATTTAAAAACTATACGGGGAGGACTGAGAAGGCTTGTGATACACGCATGTGTATATGTATATTGTGTGTGTATATAAGTATATAAAAAGGGAGACTAAGATGACTCCTAAATTTAAGAAAAACCAGGCTTGGGAGAACAGTAATTCAATTTTGCATATGTTACATTTGAGATGCTTTAGAGTATTCTAGGAACAATATGTCCAACAGGTAGCTTGCACAGGCATGATGTTCCCAGAAAAGGTTTGGTCTAGGGTCAAAAATAGAACCAACAGCATTCAGGTGAAAACTAGTATCATGGGAGGGAATGAAACTGACCAAACATAGCCACCACTTACTGCTGTGCAAGCTGCGCACTGCACAGCTCCTGGGGCTCCAGTTACCCTGGGTCACCGCAGTTTTGTACAGGTATTATGACCATTTTTTGGTAGGTGACTATAATGTATCTTGAAAGAGTGGTACCTTTTTGTAATTCATCAAAGTCATCACATAGCAATATGTTTGTTAAAGGACCTGCCAGAGCAAGCAGAGATGAGAGGAGGGAAAGAGAAGAAACCGGGAGAAGGCAGGTGAGGGTGAAGAGGGGCAAATCTATTTCATTTTTGCCTAGGCTTCATTTTAAAGCCGATCTATAAAAAATCTTACATCCTCTACATTTAAGATCTCAACGATTTTATTAAGCCCTAAGCTTTCAGGCTCTTAACAGATTCTGTTAATACAAGGAATATCAGTAACTTCCTGAAAGCAGTCCTCGCCCTGCTTTCTCATGGGCATCTCAGTGTTTGTCCTTTGGCTCGTACGTTTGAGGCCTCCATTTTCTTCATAAAATAATGATGACAATGATGAAAACACCCCTACACATACACACGTACACAGACAGTTAACAGACAGAACAGTTAACAGTTCTCCTCTGCCTTCCACACACTTTTCAAGAATTATGAGAAAGGAATAAAAATCACTTCAGGGCATTTTCAAATGGCTTTTCCAAAACTAAATTTAAGCATAAGTAACTGAACAGCTGTAATGGCAAAGAATGCTAGTGAGTTTCTATAGCAAGACGTGCTGTGTCAAACCAGTGGTTCCAAAATGGAGGTAATTCTGTGCCTCCCTGAGAGGACATTTGATAACATCTGCAGACACTTCGGTTGTCACACTACTGGGGAGGGGTACACTGGCATCTAGTGGGTAGAGGTTGGGGAAGTCGCTAAATGTTCTACAATATACAAGACAGTCCCTACCACAAAGAATTACCTGGCCCACAATGTCAACGGTGCTGAGACTGAGAAAATCTGTGCTAACTCATAAGCTCCTTGAGGCCTAGAACCAATAAGTACTTCTTGGCAAAAAGCAGACTAAAAAAAAAAAATGTGTGATGAGACAAAATTAAATGGGAGACAGTTATCACACTATATTGAAGAAATGGGTAACAATTTCACTTCCCCGCCCCGACTCCTGTTATCACTGCCTTCCTTCTAGACTCCCAATCCAAATTACATGAAAGACAATAACAGGCATTAGAAACCTAAATGATACATACAGTTTACGTGCTTTTCTATAAACCAAATCCCAGCATTTCTATCAAATTCTTACCCCAAATGAGTAAGATCTTTGAAAAGTATAAGTATCTTTTCCTGTGTAAAATCCATTATTTTCCAAGAATCACATAACAACAATATAGCCTCCTACGAATACAAACAAAAATACTTCTTGATTATTGTTCTCCTACATACTGATAAATGCAATTCTGGCAGTTAATTTAGACTAATGAAAAAAGCAAACAGAATGAAGTAAAATCAGAAGCTAAATACAGGTGACCTAAGTTAATCTCACTGAGTCCTTTTACCCCATTACTAATTAATGCTTCCCATGCCTAACCTAAATAGCCATTCATTTGTTGCCCCCCAAATTTAAATGAGGGTAAATAACTTTCACACATTTTTTAACAAGGCATCTGATTTAACTGCCGAGGCTTGGGTCCTGACATTGAAATTGACTATGTTTCTAATTTTTAAGGCTCTACTTTAATTTCTACTGTCACTAAATTAAAAAAGAACAAAAGCTTTTTCTTTTAAAAACCCTAGACGTCATGTTCCTGCTTTTACTGGAAAAGGAGACAGGATATCACCATCTCAAACCAGCACCTTTCAGCAACTGAAGCCTTTTTGTCCTCACCCTGCGTGTTAAGACAATGGCTCCCTTACGCGTCACATGCCCTGGAAGTGCTACAACAGCTGAATGGGTTTTCATGGGACATAAATCACTTTCCCACTACCTGCCACTTACAAACCTGCTTCTCATGAACCTTGGAACCTGCACAATATGGCTTGTCATGTCCTTTGTGACGGCTATGAACAAGGGGACTATTTGCATGAGTAGATAAAGGGCATTTTTCCTTTTGACACTTGGTGTTTTTTTCTTTCCCCTTGTTCCTTGAATTTTTTTTCCATTAAAATCACAGAAACATTCAATGTCCACATGTCAGTTAAATTTTCAACTTATACTTGCATGTTTCATATAACTGTTGAGCATTTTAGTAGGATTCTTGAAAGCATATTTATCTGTTCGCTTCCTAATATAGCTCCATATTCTTATAATTTTGCATGAGAGCTTTTGAGCAACTTTTCATCCCATTTTGGGGGCCTTGAACTGAGGAGAAAATATACACAGTAGACTGCGCATTTACTGATAGACAATGTTTCCCATATACAAATTTCCTAAATTCACTTATTCCTCTTGAAACGGAATTGTTGAAAAGAATGATGATTAAAGATATTCCTGTGGATGTGACACCACCCACATACATCTCATCCCATTGCTCTGTATTAAATTTGGACTGCTTAAAGTAGGAATTATATATACTTGTTATGGGGACCAAAAAGCTGCCTAGAATTTTGTACCTTTTACCACAAACAGCTGAGGGGCTGTCTGAGCGTCACATAAGCAACCACCCCTGCTGAGTAGATCACAGCTGCCAATGGTCAGTCCAGGTGCCTGTGTTCCCTCGTTTTTCAGTGGCCCAGAGCAAATGCTTCACCTGTATGCCCCACTCAGACAAGAACAGATGCTGTTGCAACCAAATGGTCCGATCACAACAAACTACACTTCCCTGTGAGCCATGTTACGCCAAAGCCTCTCCAGGCACAGATCATGGAGCAATTTCACACAAGCTTAGATAAAAAGCCAGGTGAACAATCTAGAAGCCAAAAGAAAACACAAGGGAAAGTTCCTTAGTTTTAGCGAGGAGAAGAAACAGGCAGAGCACATCTCCAGGGGAAATGAGAGGAAAGGGGAGGGGAGGCAATAGCTGTCCGCCAGGTCTATTTCAGGGAACCGGTGAAAACGTATTTCCCTTACTCTGGCAACTGAGATTATGAGTCCTTATAATCCGTGCTTATAATTCTCAACTCTTTCTAGGGTCAGGAGAAGCAAGTGACATTGAACAGAACCCAAGCAGAACAAGAGTTACGTGTGCTGACTGTGCTAAACACGAAGTGGAGCCCCAGCATTTTTCTGAAAGTGGCTGGAAAGCAATCTGTAGCTTGGCCTGTAAAAACCTTATGGCGGGTGGGGGTGGGGAGATGAGGGATGCGTCTCTCCCCTAAACAAGTCTCATAGGAAAAAATATCCATTAATGAAAAGACCTTTGCATTAGAAAAAGGTGGCAGTGGGGATGTGTGCTGACAACCTCGAGAATAATACCAAAGGCTAGAGCCAAAACATGTGATTCCAGTGTCAGGCCAGAGCCCAGCTGGAGCGGCCATGGGAAAAAAAAGATACCATACAGAGGAGAAGCAGGGGCCAGGGCTGAGTGAAGTGGGTGACAAATTGGTGCTAAGGCACCACAAGCGGCAGGCTTGTTTTCTCCCGCCTGATGTTGTAAGAGGCTTTTACACTGGAAGCCTGGATGCTGTGGAGGAGGGCGGGTGGCATCTATGCAGCTGAGCTTTACTCTGAGACAGCAGGATGCTGTCACCACCAGCAGAGCAGGGAAAACGCAAACACCCATCTGGGACAGGTGAGTGCACAGCCCTTGGCAGGGGCACAGCACGCAGGACAGGAGATTCAAACCCAACACAACACATTCCCTGGGGCCAACGAACAAGCCTTGGCCTCAAGAGGAGGAATACAAATACTGGAGCTGATTGTAGCAGAAACAGCTGTGCTGCAGCCTACACGGCCAAGTGCAGGAGACGCTGGCGTGATGTCTTCAAGAGGGTGCAGGCTCCCGAGTAGTGCAGCGACAAAGCTGCCCCCAGGGTTTTATTGGCCAATTCTTGCAAAGGGGCACTCGATAAATAATTTGAAATGTGCATAAGTCTCTCCATCCTGCCTATTTCCAGCACAAAATCCATCAACAGACTGAATCTTCTTATAACCTGTTAGGCCTATGAGGACACAGAAGTGCAAAATACATTCCCTGCCCTCAAAGGGTTTATTGTCATCTAGGCCCGATGTTTTCTTCCAAATTGTGGGTAGCCTCCTATAGTGGATAGTCAAAATCAATTCAATGGGTCAAAATAAACACTGTTTTTTAACACACACACAAAAAGAAGAAAATGTACCTGTGGAACTCTTCATTAAAATGTATGTGCCCATCACAACATTAAAATATATTCCTTACTATGGGACAAATTTTTAAAAAGTTCAAAAATAACTGATTACTGAAGAAGCCAGGAACATCTAACCATTTACAAAGAACTTTTACACAATTGGTTTTATGGAATCCA